TCAAAATACAATGAGGATTCGAAAATCTAATTTTGTAGCTAGTACTATCTATACGTATAGTCTCTGCGTAGTAGTTTCACTAATATTTTATGCTTGTTCATAAATTATCTCATAACTTGAGGGCTCGTCCAATTGGTTTAGTATGGGCCGTCTTTGGGCTTGTTCAAACAATCAAGAACTGCCGCGTTGTTTAATGGAGCGAACAATGCTCAGTTACATTTGAAACATCTTCGTTTTATCATATAAATCACTAAAATTAGTTCTTCAGTAAGGGTTCTATTTACTTTGTACAAGTCAATTAATAATTATTTCTTTGATTTATGAACTTGTCCTTTAGTCTTGATGAACTGGCCATATTTATCATACGTATTTATTAAGTTTCCTAACGAAAAAACAGACTAAAGAGTAAATATTTACTCAAAACAGAAAGTGTGTAACTTATACACTTGTATTCGGAGTCAAAGTACTACTAGTCTGATAACTTTAACAAATGCAATAAATTGAATAGTCCATTTGGCACTTTATTCTGTAATTTATGTTTTGTACTTATGTTATTGGTTTTATATTTATTATTTTTAAGTTGAAATCTAATTATATTCCACACATTGCAAAAGAGTAAAAGAAATTTGGAAATACTTAGTAGCCTTTACACAAGCGAGACGTTTAAGTATTGTAAAATATATAATTTATTATATAGACCCAAGAACGATTTATGTGCCTTGAGTTTCTGTATATTGTTTACATGGCGAGCGTTTCTTTGACGTTGAACGCGCGTTGTCATAGTTGAATTAGAGTTACTATAAACGTTATTATAATATTCGTTAAAAATAAGTTAAAAAAACAGATTTTTATTGTTCTATAAGGTTTAGAGTCCATTGAGATTATTTGAGTCCAAGTCTTGCATTGTATTAATAAATAAATTGGTTAAAATATTTGAACAGAAATGTTATCGAACACATGCTACGTAAAAAATAGTATACAAACTTTTATTTAAATGTAAGAATTTCTTTATTAAACGCGCTGTCATGTGAACAAATGTAAGATCAAATTGCATAACGCTTTGAAAAACTCGCGTTCAACGTCCGTCAACTGAGCGTGGCCTAAGACTTTGACCTCACGAGCCCTGTTTCTACGCTCGATCACGAATATCCTAATCTATCTAGGATTACAACTTTAAATCGCTAGTTCTCACGAATATAATGAAAGAAAGGTCATAGTCTTATTTAAAATTTGTTATGGGTCTATGAGATAGCTAAACATTATTGAAATGCTAGCAATGAGAATTAATACTCTTGAGTATGCAAAATATACGTATGCTTAATAGGTATACTAGACTCATACTAGAATTTGAAAATACATTATTCGTGTAAGCGGTGCGATTTTGTATGTTTGTTATATCACTAAGCTGGAACGGTTAAAACATTTTGGATAAAATTTGGCAGACTATTATGATCTTAATTAACCATTATACACGGAAATTCCTACCTGCGGACGCAGCGGTAGAAAATTAGTTGATCCTGTGATCAAGTGATTTTCTACCGCTGCACAGTGATTCGTTGTGAACATGCTAGCTGGACTAAAGTCGTTGTTCAATTTTCTGGAATTTATTACCTGAGCCCGTAGCCGATACCCTGTCCCAATTCCAATATTTGCGCTCATACTAGAACAACTCATAACGTAAAGAAGAAACGTTACATTTCAGTGAGCTTAAGTTTTTTTTTTTTAAATGTCAGTGATGAATCTTCAAGTTAAAGGTAAGTACTTTTTAATTAAAACTATTAAATGGATAACCTTTAACATTTTTTTTTTAAACCTTAATTTTAAAATAATTTTGTGTTTTTAACGATATTCTACGTTCACTGGACTAGAAAGTACTTGCGCCCTCATGCACCCGGGCTAGAAATTATAGATTATAGCCACAACTTTTTTTTGTTGGGACTAATCCCACCACTACTGTACACCAGGATCCACAGCAGTGACCCACGAACCAGTCCCAGTCCCAGGAAGTCCCAGGAAGAAATTAAACTGTCTTGGAACCCGCAACGAAATTAATCAGAAGAAAATTGGAGGAGTTGGAAATACAGTAAATCCACTTCCCTCCTTAGCAAAGCGGGATACAAAATGAAGTAAAATGGACATACACCCTTTTAAACAGGGAAGCACCACGGCCACAAATATTACGGGTCCTACGTGTGCTATATTTGATTTCTATAATATGTATGGCAGAATCGCCTAAACGCACGGAAATTCACCCTAGTTGACACAAGATCCCCATAGTATACCGCCCCAGATGTCACCTGCAAGCTATTCAGCATTATATTACGTTCATTATACCAAATACTACATTCCCAGAGGATATGATGAGCAGACTGTTCATAGTGAGAGTTAGGTGTTGAGCATTGACACAATGGTGACTCGACTAATTTAAATGAATAAAGCTTGCTCTTAACGTTACCACAATCATAGCCACAACTATTAGCTTTTGAATTTTAGTTATTTTAGGCTGCGCACTAAAGTGCAACTTATTTTTTTTTTCTGTTTTTTGATGAATGAAACATTCCAAATATTTGAATTTCTATCAATGAAAAATGATTTTTCAAATATTATGGAAACATCTGCAAGGGAGCTTCCATTAAAGGACAATCGTGAGATGAGAAGAATGGCTTCGATTACTGGGCGTCCATCAGTGGATTTAATTGAAGCCAGTGTAAAAACAAAAACTAGGCGCGTGGACGACCTTCTTCAATCATGGAACGTGAACCATTTGGTAGTGGCAGCTAAAATAGTATGTGGAGGAACGAGTTGTCATGTCCTTCCAACATAAAGGGAGTATCCTCCGACCAGGCGAGGTCATGCCTGGCGGGCCTCTGCTCAACGGTTAATGTCGGGAAGCGGCCCGCCAGGCATTCAGGAGTTACTCCGTAGTACGATGTGTCTTCGTTAGTATTTTTATGTTTATTTGTATGTCGCCATAAGTAGTAGTGTAACGTTCAGCTCGAATTCGAGGTTTGCTAAAATTGTATCTTAGTCTCTATTCGTGGTATAACATGCCCGTTACTGTGCAAAAAATTCTTTTATTATTAGATTATTCTGTAGTAATCGCTTGAACTTCGAATGCCTGTCCAAACATTATCCGGACCAAAAATGATATAATATTCCGTGAAATGTCTAATTGTGTTGAATATTTGGAAGTAAATATGCAAATAAACATACAAGCTAAAGTAAAGGAAACCCTTAAGACCAAATATTATAAGAAAAAACACCCACATTAACGTAACATTTATTTATTTTAACATCCATTACTCTCATGCCAAATAAACCCTTTTAACCACCCAACCACTCATTATGGATTGTGGACTAACTAACCGTTGCTCGCTGGCCAACCAATAACCGGCAGGTGCTAATAACCTGTTTCTAATCATTCATTACATACTTATTTAAAAAAATATTTGTAGTGATGAATTTAATTATGTATTTATAATTAAAAGAAAAGATTACACACACTAATGTACTGTAAAAGGTTTAATTAAATATATAAATTGTTTTCATATGTTCGTTATTTTTAGTTTTTAACCAAATTATTGTTTGTCTTCTAGACCTGGCCTAGATTTACAAAAGTGGCTAAGGGTATCGAAGTAGTATGCCGCGGCCTGATCATGAATTGATCACTTCATGAGGTGGTTGACCATTTCACATTAAAATCAACTTTTAATTATTAAACTTTTGTTTACATTTCTTTGAACATGTGTATGCAATGTAGCAACAGATTATCGTACCTCTTTATCCAGCCAAGCAATATAGGCAAGTTGTGGCAAAATGTGCCTATATTTATTAAACGATCTTCAAGATTCACTTTTAAAATTTGATGTAGTAATATTAGTGGAGAAATCTCAAACGAAATAGCTCTCTCTCTACTGATTAATAATTATGATTTTTCTGTTTATTAGTACAAAAGTTTTAATTTAACAGAACTGGAAAACTACGATAGTAAATTCAATTTTGCAGTCTTTAATGGGTATTTCTCTATGGATCGATATTCTTTCGATTCGTTTTCTTTACTTACACTAACTCCATAACACTCTCAAAACAATAATATAAAACTAAAGAATTTCTGAATACGCTAATTAGAAGAAGCGTTTGTGTTATATGTACCTACTTTCTGTTTTAACCAAACAATGAAATGAGGCATCTGTTTTATGTAGGACAAGATTTCTCTTGAGACGTAATGAGTTCAAACTTAAAAATCCTCATTTGTTTTCTTTTGCAAGCAATATTCGTTGACATAATTAATTGAAATGGTACTTAAAATTATACATTTTAATTAGAAATTATCTAAATTTTAATCTAAAGATGATACTAATTAAGAAGAAAGAGATTTTGCATCGCTTGTATCATATTTTTTTACTTAGTACTTTGTGCATCATGTAGATTGATACAGAGTATAGAGACCTAAAACATTAGTGTATAATATTCTACGATTTTTTGAGTAATGCATATTTGATCAACAAAAAATATGCACAACATACTGAGGAATAGATCCGAAGATGTTTGCATGGCACCACGTCAATGACTTCTGCTATGAGAGCTCAAAGTTAAATTATACGATGACCGGGGCGGCATTGTACATTCTTCATTCAATCGCATCGGTTAACTGCTAAAACTAGCAGGTTCCAAATAATTAATAATCCATCAATACATTTACATACAGTTACTTAAAAATGAACTTTAAAATTTAAGGTAATATTAGTACTCACACTATTCATGTAGTATTTAATATGTATTTGTAGAGGTGTGAAGTCCGATCCAGTGACTCAGAATTGTCCTATTCTGGTCCCACCTGCTACACAATGTGCTCAAAATACTGTCGGAGTTATCAGGCGTTCTATATCTAAAGAAGGGTTTTGTGATATCATTCTGAGGTCATTAGCTACACTAATTATTTTTTTAAAGTATGTTCTTTTTATTGTAATTCTTACTTCTATCTTTCTTTTTTATTACAGTTCACGTGCTGCGAGATACCGAACTTCCTTTAGAAGTAGCGTCGGCTTTAGGGCCTGACGTACAATTTGTGCTGAAATATATTGAGGGTGAGCATTTATAAAATATTAAGTCTGATAATTCATTACATAAATGATGCATAGAAAGAGGAGGAGGAATACGCCGTATGATATTTTAAAATAGTACTAGTCGTCAAACCCTTACACATGTAACAATTAACCAGAACATATTTAATTTATCGATCATCTTATGAATGCTTTTTTTTTTGTTTGGGATCTTCCACGGGTTGTGAACTCCCCGGATGAAATGGTTAGGTAGTATATCGAAGTCGAACCGACCAAAACCACACTACGTGTATCGTCTCCAGATCTTTTTGTCAGGGCTTAAGGTGTAGCCGAGGTATGAAAGCCCTGTTAACCCTGGCTACCAGCTTGCTTATAAAGCTTTAGCTTGTTTAATTGCTTATAGAGAAAATTACTTTAAATGATCCGTATTAGCAGGAAACCATCTAATATTTACAAAGTAAATATCACATTATCGTTTACAAAAGGGTTCGATCCAATCGTACCGATCGTGTTCATTGTTGGATTGAAAGCTTCCCGACACCTTTGTTACTGTTCTCTGAAGTTATATTACACTTACAATTTCGATAGAATCTGCTAATGACGAGATTCAATGACATTCATGATAACAACTATCGGTCGATGGGATAGGACCTGTGGATAATTAAGATTTTTCTTAGGTATGCGAATCACATGTCACGTATATATGTATGTATTTTTCACGTAATTTACTCGCACAAACATTTTTGTTGGCGAATTAGTCTCTTAACGGGAACTATCCAACATGCCTTTTATGGTCCTATAATTAAAACTTATTACGTAGCAGAACAATAGAAACTAATCAATTATATACAAACACGGGACGTAAATTTAATTTATTAACAAATGTCGACAAATAAGCATTAATTTACGCCAAACGTGACTCATAATTACTTTATCCATTTGAATTCCTTGCTGATTAACACCATATAATAATATGAATTCGGGGAAAGTTGTCGAATCAGAAGTATCAATCGAATTATCAAGTGAAGATTTTAGTAGAATCGGATAGAAGTAATGAGTACGTTTATTGTCTATAAGTGTGAAGAACCTTAAAAGCAGATCCTGTCAATTACTCGGTTGTAAATTTTTGCTACTGAGTGATGATTAAGAAGAAGTAGTAATGATTGAGTAAATAATTTTAGTTAAGAACAATTTACACTTCTTAAATGAACAGTACAAAATCCGTATTGCGGATAACATTAGGTCGGGCATGGACGAAGGAAAGCTTACGTTCTTTACTTTGCTAGACTTCAGCAACGCCTTCAACACTGTGGATTTTGATGTTTTGGTTTTTATTTGTTATGTATATTGTGCTCTCTTAGCATATCTCTATCGGCAATTCACTGGTTTCGTAGTTACCTGTATGGTTGCCAGCAGCGTGATAGTATTGAAAATCTGTACTCCTCTTGGCGCACAACATCTGCGGGCGGATCTCACGGCTGCGTGTTATCAACGTTACCTTTTGCATTTGATGATCTTCAAATTTACTCACAAGCTACTCCAGATAATCTAACAGAAATAGTGGATGCCATTAACCAAGACTTAGTGCAAATATGTAACTAGAGTAAGGAGTACGGACTAAGTGTAAACCCTACGAAAACACAAGTCCTTATAGTAGGAAGTCCCAGGATGCACTGTACAATAAACTTTCAGCAGTTACAACTTATTTCAACAGTTCGGTTGTCCCATATAGTGAAAAAGTTATAAACTTGGGGATCTATATGGATAGGTACCTATCCTGGGGCTCCCGGATTGGAGAAATTAGCCGCAAATTATTTGCAGCAGCGGGATCCCTGCGAAGGGTACGGAACTTCCTTTCCACCAATACTAAAATTGCGCTGGCACAATCTCTTCTTCTTCCCATCCTTGTCTACGGCGGTGTCAGCTACCTGGATCTCACCGAAGACCAACTGAACAAACTTGAGCGACTCCAAAACCTCTGTATTAGATTCATATTTTGATTACGCAAGTATGATCACATCTCAGAATATCGTTCTAAACTCAAGTGGCTACCAATACGCCTTTGCCGGAATCTCCATATTTTTTCTCTTTTATACAGTGTTCTGTTTCATCCTCACGCACCCTCTTATCTCAAAGAACGTTTTGAGTGCTTAGACACCACACATTGCAGGGCCTTGAGGTCATCGGAGAATTTAAAACTAAAAATGCCAAAACATTCCACCCAATTTGCAGACAAATCTTTTACTGTGCAAGCAGTAAGGCTCTGGAACAACTTGCCTGAAACAATCCGACAAGCTAAAACCTTGCCTGTGTTTTTAAAACTATTAAAGGATTTTAATCTCTCATCATAAACACTATTAAATTCATTATAAAATATATTATATATTCTAAATATGTATGTGTGTTACATACACACATACACATCTATATGTGCAATGTGCATAGATGTACATATATTTGTGTATGAATGTCTTTATTGATATTTTAATTATTCACGTGATAATGTGTTACCTGTATGTATACTACCCTAAACTGTTAAATATTTAAAATCCGTGGTAAGGTTGTCTGGAAGAGATCGCTTTGAGCGATAAGACCGCCGATTGTTAGGTCTACTTTTTGTAACTTTTGTTATTTTCTTTTTGAGTGTATACAACAAAGATAAAGATAAGATAAAAATCGTATTACCTCATTTCGTACTAAGACTTATTATATTCTTAGACTTATTTATGTAACTGTTCAAAAATTTAGAAAATAAAAGAACTCAAATCCAAATAACGAAATAATATAAAAAGCATTTCAGACGTACCTACTTTTGATTGGTTTAAAGTTGTAACTGCAACATACACATACATAACAGATTTTTGTAACGTAACTCGCAAAATGCATAATATAAAAAGTTACACTCTTTCTGTAAATACAAAACATATGTTATATGTATACCATATAACACAATTCGTAGAAGGAAAAACGTAGGTCACAATAGTAAGTAGTTTTCTTTAAAATTACATGTCAAACTAATTATGTTATAATTTAAAAAAATATGCAATTACATCATGCTAAAACATCTATTATACGTAAGTTTGTAAAATGACAGTTCGAGTAACAATAGCAAATTAAATATTGAATATAAAAAAGGGAAATTTAATGAAAAAATGGTTCAAATTCGACCATCTGGCTATGTCTAATTCGTATAAGTGTAGTGTACTAATGTGTAACGCTTTAGCTCAACCCAGAAATGACGATCGTAATGCTTATTTTACTATAGAATAGGAATTCTTAGCCGATTCTTCATTATGCTCTGTTGGTCCTTTATTGCGAAGTTGATTGCCCAGAATGGGATATTTATTAGCGATTTAGATTTGTTGAGATACTGATTGTTGTGTTTATGATGTTTATGGTCATAATTACGTTGATCGCATAATCTTTAGAAAATTTCGGTGTAGATACTACTCGAAATTGGTTGTTATACGTCTTAAGTAAGTAATATTTATATTTAATAACATGTCAATAGAATATACAGGTTACACGTTGATATACGAGTTTTGTTCTTTCATAAAAAAGGAAAATATTTATAGAAAATATATTTGCTAAGTTTTCATAAAGTGTTATTAAGAATGAAATTAAAGTATTTGTAGTGTAATGTTATTAAATTAGCCTAATAATCTCAAGTAGCTTGATTGACGACGTAACTTTCTCCTTAAAAACGATGAGAAAAAGAATACAGATAGGTACAGTCGAGGAGACAGTAACATTCTGCTGAAAAATTGTGGGATTGGTGATTTCTTTATGGAAATATTTTATTCTTTCAAATTTCACTAGTAATTAATTGAAAACCGTTACTACAGTATTATGCTGTAATAACCCGAAGAGGCAATATGGAATTTACAGTATTGTATGTATAAAGTATAAGTAAGTTTTCTTAACTATCTCTTAAAACCAAACACCTACAAACACTTTTCTATTAAATGTCTAAAACGTGACCAAAATTTTCTCCTAAATTCCTCTTTGCCTAATAACTGTCGAGTGTTTGTAGGTACACAAAACTTTGTCTAGCGAAAGGTCCCGTAATCGTTCAACTATAAAAGCCATTCATCTGTTAATAGATCCTTAAACATCGGTTAAGCATTATTGTCACTTCCGTTATCCAATACCTTCTCGCAACGTCTCCTACAAATTGCTTTCTTATTTTTGAGTTATATTCTCTTGAAAGACGGACGGATGAGGATTAATGGCGGGAGCACTCTTTCTAAATTGGCATGGCTCCCTTCGAATAGATTATTAGTTTTTCCTTCGGTGTCTTTCGTTTAGCGACAGTTGGTAAGACATCTAATTACAATATTTATTCGTGAGGCAACGGCGCTCTTATTAGAAACCAATGAATACAAAGTGAATTTATGTTCCGGACGGAGGATATGAATTTAAGGCGGACGTCTGTACTGCTCCCCTTGCATTCAAATAACTGAAAACTAAAGTCTTAAGAATATTTATTTGGCTTCTGTAATGAAACAGCGTCTGGTATTTCCTTGAAACTTTTGTGAAAACTTAAGACTTGCAGTTGAGTTTTTACTGAGCTGAAACTTTTATATAATTTAGTCTGTTTTATTATTAGTTCTTTTGAATGTTTCCTTATACGTATAATATTTTCTAATAGACTTTGTTTGATTAGGATATGAATAGTACGGTTTTGCGATCAAAGTTTATTTAGTAAATATTTGACAGTTTAGTGAAGTAATTTTTAAATCTAACTAGAAAAACAATAATTGTAGAGAGAGAAATATGTAATATTTAGAATAGAACAGAAAATAATATGCTTTATTGTACACCGATTACATTATGATAGATAAATATTACAGAAGAATTTGTACCTACAGTCGGCGGGCTTATTACTTAAAGCAATCTCTTACAGGCAACCTTTGGATGGACAGATCAACAGTAAATAAGAAGAAACAATGGGTAGTCTAGGTGTATTGAAGCTACAGTAGTGTAAAAAAATATATAGGCATACATACTCACATATGTGTCAC